CTCTCTCTCTCTCTCTCTCTCTCTCTCTCTCTCTCTCTCTCTCTCTCTCTGTTTCTCTCTCTGTCTCTCTGTCTCCCTCTCTCTCTCTCTCAATGGGAATCAAACCCAGAGGACACTCAACTACATCCCTAGTCCCTATTTGTTGTTATTTTGCTTGCATTTTTGAGACAGGGTCCTACCAGTTGCCCAAACTAGCTTACAATTTGGGATCCTCTTGCCTCAGCTTCCCAATTTGCTGGGATTCCAGGCTTGTGCTTCCATGCCTGACTCCACAAAAACCTTTCTAACAGATACATATGCTCTATATAAAAGCACTAGTCAAAGAAGTGAAAGGGATTCTGGGTAAAAATAAATCAAAGGGCTAAAGGTAGAGCTCAGAGGCCCAGCACCTGCCTGGCAAGTGCAAGGTCCTGAATTCAAGTTCTGCTCCAACAAACAAAAAGAATTCAAACCTCCCTAGACCACAGAACTCTTAAACCAGTTGCAGAGTGTGCGCCCTCATGGAAGATGACACCACGGTGACTCATGTGCCACGTAAGTTGCAGTCCGTCATTTGCGTGTTTCAGTCAGGACTTCGGAGAGTCCACAGAGCAGGTGGTCCATGATGACAGTGGTGTCACACTGCTCAGACTCTTGGCTGGACCAGGCAGCATGTAGGGCAGGAAATCTCCAGGCCCTTGCCCCAGACACCACAGAGAGAACATAGACCCACAGGGAGGGTGTCCGAGCCTGCTTCTGTCCTCCGCCTCTCAGCTTCTTTGACTCTAACCTGCCTCACAGGCCCAGTCTCCACCGAGTGGACCAAGTTTCTCCCCATGATGCCTTGCAGGGGAGGAAATGTCCTTGTGCTTGGTGGGCACCTTGCACTGTCAGCAGGGTGCAGGAGGCTGAGAACAGACCTTTGCCTGGCAGACGGACACATGGCTGGGGACTGAGGAGAGCCTGTCCTCTGTTCAGGGAACACTTTCTCTCCCCAGCCCCTGGGCATCAGCCACAGCCATGGCCAACTGCTGGCAACCACAGGTTGGGTTAGGAACAAAACCCTCCAGCCCTGGCTCCCTGCCATGCGCAGCCAGCTGTCCAGGTGGTGTGGCGGAGACATGGGCCAGCTGCGAAAGTGCTGTCTTTTTCCACAGAGCATTCTCAGCAAGCAGCATTCTTCCTGGGGTGTGTGTTGGGCAACTTCAGAGATGCTGCACATTCCTAGAGGCCCAGTTGAACTTGCTGTATCTTTGGTCAGTTGTCAGAGTATTTTGTGATGCATAATGATTGTGTTCATCTTAGGGAACTAGTACACACACACACACACACACACACACACACACACACACGTACACTGCATCTTTATCCTTTTGACTTCCCATTTCCACCTTCCTGTGTCCTGAAATCTTTATTCTGCTCTTAAAATTTTCCTTTGGGTTTCTCATATAAAAGAAACCATGTGACACTGAGCCTTCTGTGTCCAGTTTCACTTAGCACTGCAGTCCCAAGATCCATCCATTTTCCTATAGATGACTCAGATATATTGCAGGCTTTTGACTTACTAGGACTCGGGGGTAATAATCAGGCCATTGGTGTTTTTTGTTTGTTTACTTGTTTCTGTTTAGGCTGACTGCAAGACTGAGGCTCTCTCCAGAGGCATCTGTGGTCTGGTTTGGGAGGGTAGCTGGTCAGCCAGAGGAGAAAGGGTGTCCAGGCTCTTTGGCTATTTCCTTTTTATTGTTATGACCATCATTTGAAGGCTCTGCAAATAAAAGTTACCTTAAATGAAAAATCTGATTTTATTAAACAAGAGCTAAAGAACTAAACTGCTGGGAGAGCCAAGATTTGCAGTTGGGAGGTGCAGTGATGTCTCATGAGCTGAGCACATGTAACTTCATCAGCAGAGCTTCCAGTGGGGAGGGCGGAGCACAGCACATCCTTGGGCTCGGGTGTCTCAGGCTGACCTTCCAGAGCCAGCTCCCCTGCTGCCTGAACCCCTGGCAGAGAGCTGGGGTGCAGGTTTCTCCTTCTGCTGTTGTGCTCTTGAAGCCCTTTGGTCTGCAGCTCCTTTAGCACTGGGCCTTCACCCAGATCCTGCAGCCACCCTTGTGATGAGGGTGCAGAGGAAACCACAGCCAGTCGGCAGGAGGAGACACTTCCGACCACACAGCATCCCTGGGACGTGCTGTCCCAGGAGCAGTCACATCCCTGTATCCATGACGCCCACTTCCTGGAGGGGCTCTCCTCACCACTGAAATAGCACCTGGGAGTCTGCCATCCCACCTTTGGGCACCATATGCAAACACGGTCATGCATACCTTCGCATCATACTTTTTTTTTTCCTTCTGAATGGTTCTTTGTTTGACTTTTGGAGTGGTTCTTGTTGAAAATGGTTGTTATTGTTTATTTGTTTGTTTGTGTGAGTCGACCTTTGCAGTACATAGTGTTCACACCCCAGGAGTAGAGCTGGCGCATGCACACAACCCATCTCAGTTCCTATTTTCATCTTCTTCCCTCCCCTCCTTGCCCCCACCCCCAGCTCATTTGAGAAAGATCTACCTCCTTACTTCCATTATCTGTTGTTTATTTTGCTCTTTATTTATACGTTGAATTCTTTATATAAGCAAAACTGCAATATTTGAGTTTCTGTGTTCAACTCATTTCACGTAACATTATGGTCTCAAAGCGCATCCATTTTCCTACACGTGACTCAAGTTCATCTCTCTTTATGGCAGAGTGGTGCTCGACATTTTCTTTGTCCATCCATCTGTTGATGGATATACAGGGCACTTCCAAGATTTAGCTGCGACGCATCGTGCTGCTGTAAGTGTGGATATGTGCAGGCCACTGTGATCTGATGTCTTCAGCTCCCTTAGGAAGGTCCCTAGAAGGGTATCTTCAAGGGGAATAACTGGGTCAAATGGAATTTCTACTTCCAATTTTTTGAGCAATATCTGCACTAATGTCCACGGTGGTTGTATCAGCTTGCATTCCCACCAGCAGTGCAGAAAAGTCCTTTTCACCAGCAGCCTCTCTGGTGTTTGTGACTCGATTTCTTGATG